AGCGTCGCCGTAGGCGCTTCAGGTTATGGAGTTGAAGTTGTAACCTTTCATCGCTAGCATGAGGAAATAAACACCTGTCTACCACGCCAACAGTTTCAATAACGCCTCGAACAGCTACCGTCAGTCACTGAAGGAGGGACCCGCACCTGTCTACATCTGCAGTAGTTTCAGAAGTCATACTTGCAAGAATTGCCAGCGGCATCAACACCGTGTTCATCAATAGACCCACCTTTTACCAGACACCCAAAGATGTGGCCTTTGCTACAGTTGAGAACGACTACCTACGTCATGTTTTGTATCATGCCATCTACTAGAATCCGGCTCATTCCCAAGCCAAATACGCGCCCATATGCAACGGCCTTTCTGCGGAATGCCTACTCTTTGGAGGTCGCAATCTCCCGCACTACAGCGCCTGTTATGAAGATTATCATGTGTCGAGTCGCCCGTGAAAAAACACTCTTTACTCATGGCTTCGGAGAGGAGAAGAATCCACATCGAATTTACTCGCTCCAATGAAGAATTTTCCTAGCTGGTGGTCTCTCTCCGCATAATTTAATGTAATCTCAGCGACTTCTGGCAAAGGCAGTGCAACAATAAAGCAACTCCGATGCCTATTAGCAAATTCAAAATTGCGTCACATTTTCCAATAATAGAAACCAGTTCACCTCGGCTAAATTTCAAGATTTGCCGAAAGGAAGGAACACGACCAAGACTCAGTTTCCCAAGAAAAACAAACTCACAAATACCACACTCTATGGACAGTCGAAGGTAGGTCGTGCGGAGCAGAAGGCTGGGCATGGAAAGAAGCAGCAGCACAAGTGTGAGATGTTGGTGCAATAAGTCAAAAGGTCAAAAAGAGTTTCTAGTGACAGCACTCCGTGAACCAGTGGAAGCATTCCCCACCGCCAGCATTTGTGACAGATGTCCGGCGGAATTTGAACGCGCATCGTTCCTACCAGTTTTTCGGATTGTCTAGCAATTTTTTGTTCTCTTCGTTGTTATCGTGAACGATAGGCTAGTGACTTATGGGTGAGGCAGAATCATGATTTTTCCGGGAAGGACTCCTTGAAGGCAGCGATTACGATAAATTCAAGAAGGGTTTAGTGTGACGTGGTGGTGCTCAATGGTACGCCAGTGGCGAAAAAAGCAGAAAAATCCGTCAAGAAAACGCAAAACGGGACCCCTTTTCCGTTGGTTTTCACTCATGAACAGGTAACAGCTCAGAAAGTGGACGTATGAACGAGTTCACCGCAACGCGTTTGGTGGCACCATGCCAAACCACGCTCCAATCGAGTTGCTCCAGTTGTGCCGCTGCTGGCAACAGCTCGTCCAAATCACCAACTAAACTAGTGGGCGGATCGCTTTGGGGCGGAGCGCTTTCGAAGTCCTGCTCAGCAACCAGCGCACCTTTCGTCGTGAAAGCGCCACATCTCGCTTCCCTGGCAGCCAAGTAACTGACTTCTGTGGTGCACATGCTTCTCCGATGCGCTCCCTTTTTAAGAGGAAGTTCGATCTAGAGCGCTAGTTAGACTTCCTCCAAAATGGGTGAAGTTGGCCTTGACGAATACGAATAGCTCCCGCGATCTCTACGTAAGAGGTATGGGAAAAATACAAATACAGCGGGAGCGTCAGCATGCATGGTTGGTTTGGGTTCCTGCTAAACAAAAACATCTCACCTTGTTACACTTCAGTAACAGAAAATGTCCCATCTCATAGGATACGCGAGAGCCAAAACACTTCCCACATATAATGTGCCACGTGGCTCCCAATTGCTTGTCCAACTCCTCCTTGATGAATGCGGCCACATCCTGAAAACGCAGGTCCGTAGACCTTTCACAGACTAATACATTTGATAGAATAGAAAGCAGGTCACGAGATCAAAAGAAATGTTAAGAAGTGAGTCGGCACCTCGACCGTTTCTTTCTTGAGAATGTACCATCGTATTCAATTTTTACTGATAATTGCAGCGGTCTTCAAGTGATACCTGGTCCATGCAGTGACTAGCGAAGAATAACTAAACGACCTAAACTCACTTTGTCAATATTGTATAACCGTTGAGCTTCTCGGACGACACTGATCACTATCGACTGCTCGGCCTCCTCCATGTCGCTCTCCTTCACTTCCACCTTATCGTCCGACATTCTTGGTTGTTGGAACATCGAGTAATAACCAATTATCTTATTTTGCCCTTGGAAACTCAGTTTAGCACGAAGAGATACACAAGTTGAGCCTCCACAAGGAGAATAACGAAAAGTGAGGATAATTACAGCTCTCCCACATCGGAGAGTAAGCCCTCACAAGGGAGGGCATTCAGGGCAAGCCGCGCTTTTTGGAAATGGTTTCTTGCATATTGTAGGGACGCATGTATGGACCACAAAACCATGTTTCGTTTTCGCTGAACGGTTTTAGTAGTATCAAAAAAGTGGTGAATGATACCCTTGATGGTTCGGTCCCCGCGGCGACTAAATTTTGCAATCAAGGTTGGCGGCCACTTGTTGTGCTTCAAAATGGCCCTGATGATGAATATGAATTAATATTGAAATCTTAGCGTCGATTGGCAACATCGGTATCGAAACTCCAAATGCAAAATTTAGTCGCCACGGGGATCGAACCCTTAACAGTACCTTATGCTCTTTTTTGGTACTGCTATAACCGTTCAGCGAAAATGAAACATGGTTTTGCGTTCCCTACATGCGTCCCTACAATATGCACAAAACCGTTTTGAAAAAGCGCAGCCCTGAAAGACCTCCCTTGTCAGATGTCGGAGAGTCATATGCAAGACAAATCGGGTTATACGAAGGGGAAGGGAGGAGGGGGGGGTGAGGGGGCACATACAACGCGCGTGAACTGGTTGGCAAAACTTATATCGCCCTCCGCGCCACTCCTCCCTCACCTCATGCAACTTCTTACAATCGAAGCAAGTACGACCCCCCCTCTACAACCTCATCAAAATATACGACCCCCCCCTCTAAAAACTCATCAAAATACGACCCCCCGTTGCTACTTGTAGCAACGTAGGGTTGACCCTGGTTTGAACAGAAATCGGCACACGGCGCACTGTTTATGATAGGAATATGCTGCAAAAATGTTTCTCTGGCCCTCATCCATTCTCCAATCGAAAGAAAACACCTTTCATAAAAGTGAACATAACGGCATTTGTGGTGCAAAGGTTACGGAAGACCACGACAAAATTTTGGAATGAAACTCTGCCCCGACATTTGAAGGTCATCGGCTCACACAAGCTTTCGCCATATGTCTCCTGTGTCACTTGTTGCCAGGAGAATGTATCGGAAACAGATGTTCCACAACCAGCGTTTATGTTTTCTATCCCGCAGCTTAATCGCTAGTACTGCAATGTAGGAATACGTGTTCACACGGTGAAATGAGTTTCTCCGGAGCAAGGGCAGTTTACCTAATTGTCGGCGCTTGCTCGCATCATATCTGTAGGCTCGTGACTTTGTCGCAAAGCAGAGCTACTGGCTACTGAATCACGGCTTGTTTTGCGAGCGTGCGCCCAAGTAAAGGTCCCACTGTCTTTACTGAGCAGTTCAGTAATGATGCTGTCAACAGAAAAAAATCGCATTTTAACATCAGTCACGGACGATCCCTCCTTTCCACCTTTCGGTCAGCGCTGGGCACGGACGGCGATTTGTGGGCCCTGCTGCACAAACCACATTAACCGCAAAGAGGAATTTAAAAGCATTTTACGGGCACGTATTACGAAAACTTGCCCACCTATCTGTCCTGTCGGAGCGCCTGATCCAAGCGTTGTTGTTGGCAGCCCATATGGGCTGCCACCGGCGAAACGAGTGTTTAACGAGTGTTCAGGTGTGAAAAGGCTCAACAAAACACGACATTCTAGAGTCTAAGTTTCAAAACACACAGCAGCGACGGTACAGAAATACACACTCCAGGCACATAACATGAAATGAATCATTTGATTATGATTAAAGGAATCTTCCACGGAAAAAGCTCCGCCCTCATTACCACAGAAAACGATACCTTAAAGGAATCTTCCACGGAAAGAGTGATCATTTTGTCTTGTGTGTAGGATTAGTATTATCGAAACTAACGCTTATGTTCCGTTCTTTTTGCTATGCTCATGAGGCTAGGGGCCTAAGGCCGATGTCAGACTTTGCGAATCGCGCGATTCGCTAGCGTCTGCGGTCGCGTCGCGGCCAGTGAATCACTCAATTGGCTGGTACCGCAACGCGACCGCGGACGCTAGCGAATCGCGCGAATCGCTAGTAGCGAATCGCGCGATTCGCAAAGTCTGACATCGGCCTAAGGGTATGGTTTTTCTGTGGTAATGGAGGCGAACTTTTTCCGCGGAAGATTCCTTCAAGGAACTACCGAGTCTTTGCCAAGTCAACCGTGAGTGCTGAATCTCAGAAAAAAGTGCATACTCACTAAAGAGTGTGTCAAAAAAGCTCATTCTTTCACCCGGAAGCTATTTGATCGTAGGAGATAATCACGCTCCCAATATTAAGGCGCTGACATCTAAAGGAGGGATGAATCAAAAGCTAGAATTAGCGTTCGAATTTGAACGCAAAAACAGATCTAATAAAGGGCTTCATCTCAAAAGGAAACGATTACGCGCGACACTGCCCACATATTGTCGCTTTATCACATTCACATGGCCACATGTTCAATTCCCTGAGGTACAAGGCAGAATGCGATGTCAATCAGACGATGGACTTGAAATTAATTTTTGTGACGTTGAATGAAGTGAGAATTTGACTCAAATATGTTACTAAATAGCGTCAATCCATGTAGGATTGCCATTAAGCATGTGTACGAAATTTTCAAATTTAGATTATGAGTTTGCGAAAAATACCGCGCATATTTTACCAAACGCGGGTCATTGTCAAAAATCACAAAAAGGCTGGCCATCGTCCAAATTCAGGGCTTCTCTTGTTTGTAAGCTGTGGCGGTTTCGAGGGTCAACAGCAAGATTAAGAATAGTGTACGTGCATCTCTTCTTCTTCTTCTCCTTAGCGTTAGTCCCGCGCAGTCGCAGGGTCCGCTGTCTTATCAGTCGTCGCCACTTCGTTCTGTCTAGGGCATCTTCTGCTGTGGCCGTGATTTCACATCAGCTAGGTCCTTCTTGCGTTGATTAATGTCTTACCCGCGGGTCTTCTTTGGCCTCAAGGTCGCTTGCCGTGGCGCGTTCGAAGTCAGTGCTTTCCTTATTGGGTGGTCCTGTGGCCTCCTTAGCACGTGCCCATACCATCGCAGACGCTGTTCCCGTACCTTCAGCTGGAGAGGGGCAGTCTGCATGACGCTCTGACCTCCTCGTTCCTGACCCTGTCCAGTCGCGTCCAGCCGCCCATCCCTTCGTAGCAGTTCATTTCAGGCGGGTGCCGGCCGGCCTTGTTTGTGATGTCTTTGTTCAGGGGGCTCAAGCACTGCGCTGCCGTATGTAGCATCGCAGGCCTCTACACTGCGCACCTTTCTCAGGTTCTGAGCACCCTGTCGAAGTTGCAAGGACTCCCATGTAGGGCCCCTCCACTTCATACAGGCCGGCGGCGTTGATCGTGCCTTTCTACTCTCCGGCGACTTCCGTCGGCTGCCACAGATCGCTCCCGAGGTATCTGAAGTCCTCCACTCTTTCGATGATCTCTCCATGGCCGTCTACGATTGGCTCCAATCCCTCTTCAGAGCTCAGGAACTTGGTCTTCCGGACATTCAGCCGAAGCCCACCTTCTGCCAGCGCTTCCTGCCATTTCTGCACCTTGCCCTGTAGTTCTTCTCTGCTTTCCGCTATCAGGGCGATGTCGTCAGCGTAGAGGATTGTCTTTAGCGGTCCTTCCATGAGCCCCTTCACCAGGACATCTAGTGTCAGGAGGAAGAGGAACGGGCTCAGAGCTGACCCTTGGTGCACCCCAACCGTGATGTCCACTTCCTTCGTTAGGCCGTGTGGGGTGCGTATAGCTGCCTTCGCCCCATCGTACATGTCCTTCACCAGCGAGACCAGGTGTTCTGGCACGTTCCGTTCCCTAAGCGCTCTCCATAGTACCGCTCGTGGTAGCCGGTCGAACGCCTTCTCCAGGTCGAGGAAGGCTAGGTAGCAGGGTCGGCGCTTTTCTCGATACTTCTCCATCACTTGCCTTGCGATGAAGATGGCATCCGTCGTAGACCTTTCGGCATGAACCCGAACTGTTCCTGGGAGATCGGGACCAGCTCCCGCAGTTTCGAGTCGACCAGTCGCTCGTACAGCTTCATTGTATGAGCAGTCAACTTGATCCCGCGGTAGTTGGAGCAGTCCATCGCGTCACCCTTCTGCTTGAAGATGGGGACGATAGTGCTTGTTCTCCAGGCATCCGGCATCCTTCCTTCGGTGGTTACCGTGTTCAGGAATTGGGTAAGCCATCTGATCCCGTACTCTCCGAGCGCCTTCCATGCCTCGATTGGCACCTTATCTGGACCCACCGCCTTTCCAACCTTCATCTTCCTTAGTTCTTGACGAACCTCATCCTCTGTCC